GAGAGAGAGAGAGAGAGAGAGAGAGAGAGAGAGAGAGAGAGAGAGAGAGAGAGAGAGAGAGAGAGAGAGAATATACACGAGCTTAGCGCGATGCGGTCAGGGCGGGCTACGCCCGCATAAAAAACCATGGCAAAGATCAGTCAAAGTACTCACAGAGACTCAAATGAACATATAGAGCACAACACGTTCTCTCTCTCTCTCCCTCTCTCTCTCTCCCTCTCCCCTCTTCCCCCCCCCCCCGCCCCCTCCTCCGCCTCCATTTTGAGATGTCTCCCTCTCTCTCCCCCCCTCTCTCTTCTGGGTTTGTGTCAATCTATTTTGAGTTTGTCCTTGAGTTTGAAACGAAACAATTCTGTTCTGAGATTGTTTGAAGTCTGTTTTTTGCCAGACTGTCTGAATTACTCTCAGCCTGTTTTGAGTGCCTGTTGAGTGTGTTGTGTTTTATATGTCCGTTTGAGTCTGTGTGAGTACTTTGACTGACCTTTGCCATGTTTTTGAATGTGGGCGTAGCCCGCACCATCCGCGCCGCGGGCGCTAAACGAAGGGGAGTTCGAACTTTGGAGTTCGATTCCCTTCAACTTTTTTACTGCAGTTAGGGCATACTCACACTAGCACTTTTCAGAATGCATCAGACCGTAATTTCGGCCACACCTGTAGGCATCTGGCCGCAATTCCGTCCAGAAATAAGTAAAAAAGTCCGAGTGTGAGTATGCCCTTAGTATAGATGTGTGTGTGTGTTCGGGGCAACAGTCTAGTACATGCACAGCTATAATGACAGGGCATTCTCTTATTTATTTTTATTTTTATTTTTAGAAAAATTTGGACCATTTCTCGATTTATGCGTGTCATCCTTGCGCAGGGGCCATGCTAATCTTCTCTGTATCGTTCCAATTTTAACGGATGTCCCGAAGGACCATTCTGTTATTTAGGTGAAGAGTGTAGGTTGGATTAGCATAATGTGTTGCAGTAGTGAATGGTGGATGAGCTCAGCCCGGACCAAGTTGTTCCTTTTTTTTTTTTTTTTTTCTAACAGGTATTTGATCCATGCATGCGTCTATGTTCTTCTTTGTTAAAAAGAAAAAAGACATCACAGTTGATGTCGTGTGGCATTGCTCTGACAGCAATTGACGATCGATGCATGCGTGAGTATGTTCTGACATGGCCGGTCGCTTGCGGGGAGTAGTTTGTGGTCTGATGTTGATGTGGTTATCGTCGTTGCTTCGATTGCTTGTCGTGCACTTATCACTGTGGCAGCATCTAATACCTCCGGTGGCGGACTAATCCGAGTCCTGGCGGTGGGATAATAGGGGGGGCGGGGGAACATGGGGGAATGTAGCAAAGAAAATGATGTTCAGCTGGTGCCGAAGTTCGAGTGGAGCGTCTGTGATATCTGGAAAGCAGGGTGTTCCCGGCCGCCTCTGTGGATTGACGTGCATCTGCGCAAGCCATGGGTGGTTTTCACACCGGACTGGAGATCGATTCAGGTGTGGAACTATGAAGAAGGGAAACTGATCGCCTGCTGGCTGATATCGGATCTGAACGATGCCTTCGAAGCGAAATTCATCGTCCAGAAAAACTGGATCGTTGTACGCCGCTTCACCAGCCTCGTCGTGTACGAAATCCAGGAGCTGAGCTTGCGGTGCGTCAAAGTGTTGCAGGCCCCCCGGTCAAATTGCGTGTACGGACTCGCCGTACATCACAGTCTATCCTACCTTTTGACGTCTTTCCACGACGGGAACGTGGTGCTGTGGGACTGGGCCCGGGAATGGGAAAAGATCACTTTCAAAGGTCATTCTAAGATGGTTAACGTCGTGGCATTTCACCCGGTTGACTCGCACATAGTCGCGAGTGGCTCGGACGATCTGACAATCAAAATTTGGGATGTGCAGAAGAGGTGTGTGGTCAGAACGATGCAGGCGACAGGCATGGGACTGATTCAAGGCATGGACTTTTGCAGCGAAGTGCAGAGGTCGCTTCTGATTACTTCGCACATCATAGAGGGAATCGTATTGGTCTGGGACTACACAATCGGGGTCTGCGTAGCGAAATTGGGGGGTCATAATCGGGGGATAAGGTCGGCCTTCTTTCATCCGCACTTGCCGTACGTCCTTAGCGCATCTGGTGACGGAGAGATCAAAGTGTGGAGCGTACCGAAGTTCGAACTCGTGTCCTTCTTCTCGTGTGGATTGGGTGACCAGCTGGTAAGCATGGTGCCTTGCAAAAACTCCAACATGCTAGTTCTGGGAAGTAAGGAAAAGTTTATGGCTGTGGAGGTGGCGATCGGAGCGGCAGGAGGAGGAAGAGGAGGAGGAGGAGGAGGAGGAGGAGGAGAAGGGGAGAAAGGAGGACAGACAAGTACGTTAATCAATAGCATCAACGCGCAGGTGCTGGTCTTAAGAAAGAGGATCGAAGAGTTGGAGAACCAGTCAGTGCTTGCCAGACTAGAGTATGAGAGGAAAATTAGGCTAGAGGTGGCCATTGTGGAGTTGAAGTGCATGAGGACAATGGATGAGTTAAGAGCAGAGCATCAGGCAAAGGAGAGAGCCCAAGCAGAGCGGATTCGACATCTGGAAGCTGAGGTGAAAACTATGAAGGCACAGATGGTATCGGTGGTAGAGAGACTAGAAAACCCGAAAGTGAAGACTGAGGGAGTGTAATGTGTTTGTGTGTGTGTGTGTGTGTGTGTGTGTGTGTGTGTGTGTGTGTGTGTGTGT